CACACACACACACACACACACACACACACACACACACACACACACACCATGGCACACATCTGCACTCACACAAGCAAACACACACTCAAAAAAAAAAAAAAAAAGAAAGAAACAAATAAAAGCAAACTAGCTAAAAACCCTTACAAGGCTGGTTCTTCCTCTTCATCTCCATATGACCTCAGATTATCCTGATCATGCTGCGGCAATTCAGGCATCAGTCTGAAAAGCAGAACATCGTTTTAGTACATGTATAACCAATTGTCTACTGCTAACCTGTGCTTACAGGCCAACAGAGCATACTTTGTGGTGAATCTATCCTTTAATAATTCCTTTCCAAAGTAATTACTTACAGATAAGACTGTATAAATACAAACTACAAAGGGACAACAGTGACATGGTTAAAATCTTGTCCTCTCTATTATTACTAGGACATGTATAATCTAGTCTTCTGTCTCATTTAATGTTTTTAAAGATTAAAAATACAATCTAGGGACTGGAAGAGTGGCTCCATGGATTAAAAAAAAAATGAACTAAACATGCATCATGTTTTAGAGAGCAAACTTTTCTCCAACTAAAGACGTCTCACTTGTAGAGCATGTGGTAAGCAGCAATTTGCACAGGTCTGGCTCTGAAGAGGAGCAGTGGGGTCAAAGTATTTAGCAGAGTCTGCAGGTGCTCTGGCAAGTTTGTTTTCTGGCTGCCAACCAATCTCGCAGGGAGCTTGTGACTCAGCAGCTGGTCCTTGGAGATGTATGTTAGTGTTTCACACATGGGTTTCAGCATTGCATTCTGAAAGGATGTTTCAGATAGGTCTTTGTTTTCTCCTGATATGGAAATGAAGAAACACAGACAACTCATAAGAACACAAGTAGGTTGACCAAATGTCATTTAAGAAAACCAAATGAGTCGGGCTGTGGTGGCGCACTCCTTTAATCCCAGCACTTGGGAGGCAGAGGCAGGTGGATTTCTGAGTTCGAGGCCAGCCTGGTCTACAGAGTGAGTTCCAGGACAGCCAGGGCTACATAGAGAAACCTTGTCTCGAAAAACCAAACCCAAAAAAAAAAAAAGAAAACCAAATGAAAACTAGCTACAACCATGACTAAAGTCCTCACTGGAAGTAAAGTATATGTTTCTGTTACTCTCAATTGTTATAATGGCCTCTACTACACTTGTTAAAAAAGCAATAGTTGTCTAGAAGGTTTCTAGTGCTGTACTTTGCTGAATTATAGTATCTTAACTTGCAATGGTTTCTCAATACCAAGCCATCTTTTTCTTGTCATTTTGTGTCTGTACTATGATGCAGCAGCATAGAGACTGCCTCTAAGAAATCAAGCTTATTTATTTTCAATAAGTATCATTATTATGCCCCTTTGCACTTACCTATAGCATTTACCAAAAGAGGTAATAGCAAACTGTGGATGCCTTTAGAAAAAAATTCTTTCCACTCACTGATTAGATTTACAGGAAGATTGTCAACAGTATCTGGAGTTACTGAATCAAAAAAGGCACTGAGATCACAGGCCAAATCAAAGCTGACACAGGCAAACAGCTGCACAAGTGGAACAGAATACAATGCCTGGTTCTCACTGGTTGTCTAAAGAAAGGATAGAATAAAATAGGTAAGCAGGGTGCTACCAGAACACCACAAACAGTACAGGACGAAGATCTGCTTCATTTTGAACCAGAGGAGAAAGAGAAGGAAGAAGAGGAAGAGAAGGTATGTTTACATCAAACAACTTTCAAAAATACCAGGAATTTAACAATTATCAATGAACAGTTTATTCTGAAATGAACTTTAAATTTGTAAAGTACAGAAGAAAATAATATTTGCATTTGCCAAGTGCAATACATTAAAATACATTAAAATATATTAAAATACATTAAAATAAAGAAATTCAGGAAGAGACAGCTACACAGCAGGTAACCAGGCAAAAGCAGACTTGGACCACATCAGCCCTGACTGACTTCGCTGTCTGTCTCAGACCTATTTCACAAGTTACTATTTTTCTAGTTGCTTTCATTCATTAAAGAACACTAATTCCCCACTCAGTATCTTTATCCTTCATAAATTACTTTGGTCATATTCCACAGCGTGCCTTAGAAATAATTACACCCCAAGAGACAAAAACAAACAAAAAACCCAAAACCTTGCCATGATGCAATGTAACCTGAAAAGGCTGGGTTGTAAATACTAAATTAAACCAAGTTAACAGAAGATTTTAAATGCAATTTGGAGATCTGATGCCCAGACTTATGAAACCACTGTCCTTTTCCTGGTCTATCTAGCAATAGCTAGTGCAGGAACAACTACTAAGTATTTTAATATTTTTTTAAACAAAGTATTTTACGTTTTCTCTACAAAGAAACTAATCATGATTTAAAGACAGAGGAAAGGGTCAAGACATACAGGAGTGTGCAAAGACCCAACACTGGTGATGACACATCAGGCTCATTTACCTCCAACCAAGCCAACATGGAACACATGATGAAATCCCATTCACTCTCTGCCAGCGGGTACGAGCAGTACTTCAGAAATAAGGAAAGGAACCGCATGATTTCTATATTTAAACCAAGGACCTCTGGACTTGCTTCCGATAGGTTACTGTGATAAAGGCAAAGACATTCAATTAGAGAGTATTCCATTTTAAACCAGGCATGCATAAATGGTGCCTTAAATATCTACTAATATTTTGTTAATTCAAGAAAAAACTAAGTATAACTACAGAATCTGGGCCCACATTCTATATGGGAATAATTACCTACCAACTGAAAAGAAAAATATCCTCATGCTGTTTCCTCCAGCTTGTTATAATTTTTAATATACCATGCAATAGCTGTTTGTCATCTACACTTCTGGTTTGCAGGCAAGAATTGAAAATGGCAAGATGTCCAAAAGCTCCTAATGGAAAATCAGAGTGAAAAGGAAAATACATTTTAAACAGCATCTATAAAACAAAAGTCTACTTTGGAAAACTGAAAATGCAATGCACAAGATGCTAACTCTTCTAAACAACCTTGAGCCTGGTGTGATGTGTCTTCTGCAATCTCAGTACTTCAGAGGAGGAAAAAGGAGGATGCTAGCATCCAGACCAGTCTGGACTACACACAAGACTGTGTCTATCAATAAATTCCATACAGCCAATCTATCTCAAATGTATTTACTATGGTCAACTGAAGAGCTCGTCAGTCCTGTGGGCAGAGGCGTGCGCCAGACCACAGAGCACGGAGTTCTCTGTGAGGGGAATTCACGGGACTTCACACGAGTCTGTTCGACTTTTATATAAAGGGCCTTTTGTACTTACCTTCCAAAAACAAACAAGAAAGATACAGCTATAGAGTGAAACATTAAATAAAGTAGGAAATAGAACATATAGAATTATAGAATTAATACACTCACACAAAAAGCACATATGCTTTCTGGTAAGCTTTTATATTACAAGATGTTCAAACTGTTAGTATTCTGTCTAAACTCTACATCCACAGTTACCTGGCAGCAGCCAGGTAGGTCTGCCCACTATAAAAGGGGCTGCTTGCCCCCTCCTCTCTCTCTTACTCTCTTGCCTCTAGCTTTCCTGTGTCCCCTTGCCCCTTCCTTTTCCCTTTCCCCTCTCTCCACGTGGTCATGGCAGGCCTCTACTCCTCTACTTCTCTCCTCTCTGTCTTCTCTCTCTCTTTCTCCACCATCTTCCTCTATCCCTTTTCCCCCACCTTTGCCCTTTGCCCTGAATAACCCCCCCACAACCATTTGGTCTGGTGTTGTCTGCAAAATAAAATTTTTAAAGCATTTTAAACTATACTACCATGAAACACAAAGTCTTCTTTGAAAGCCAAAACCTTTCTTGAGTAGTGCCCAAATGAATACCTTTAAAATGGCTTATGTGAGTGAGGTTACACCAACCAGCTCATTACTTTACTTCTAGGGGACCTTACCATTTCAAAACCCATCCTCTTATACTCCAACACCCTTTGTTCCCAACTTCTCCCTTAAATGTCAGCTAAAGTGAACTATCTGCACTTATTCTGTGTGCCAGGAATGCTTTCTAAACTGCATACATGCTCAAATATGGACATTCCATCCAATCCGTATACATGCTCAAACGTGGACATTCCAATCCCCATACATGCTCAAACATGGACATTCCAATCTGCATACATGCTCAAACATGGAAATTATGCACCACACTCAAGGGATTTCTTGGGAAATCAGCACTGACACTGGGCAGCAGTGGAAACCCCCTCGTTTCTGCCATTCCCACAGCAGTACAGGGTGCTCTGTTACAATAATTACAACGGGATGTAAGCATGACTTCTGTCTGTCTCTCTACAACAGGAACTGCATGGAGATGCTTATTAAATCAATAAACACATGAGCCAACATAATGCACAGTTCAAAACTTTAGAATACTACAAAACTATTCTTTTACCTTTCTATGTTCAACCGTTGGTTGACTAGGGAGAAATGAGACACAGCTTTAAAAAGCTGTCCAGGTGGAAGGTTGAGAATATAGCAGCTCGGTGGCAGAGTGCTTGTCTAGCATGCAGAAGGCCCTAGGTACCCCAGGACCACATGGCAAACAGCCATAAGTGGGATTGAAGACCATGGGGCACCTCTGGATATAAGTTCTCTCAAGGCTATAGCACTTCTGTTCAAACACATTCACCACACCCATGCAGGAGTTTGTTGGAACAATTACCAATCTGACAGGTAACAGAACTACAAGGAGGAAAGAAAGGAGCTCACAGACATTCTACCACTTGTACCTTTGTATTCACATACTAAAAAATCCTTCTCTAATTGCAAGAAATAATTAAAATGTAGAATGTTGCCCAGCAACTTACCATTAATACTGCAAAGGTCTTCTTTAGTCCAACCCAAAAAAGCAGGTATACATTGAGCACTAAATTCCTTCTTTTCTTCTTTAGACAAAAACGGACAGAGACTTTGAATGGTATGCAAATTACCTTCTGTTAGAGGGAAGAAACTGTTTAGAGAGAAAATATTACTTATAGTTATTCTATGTGGATAGCTATTTCACAAAATGATATTATTCAGACTATTCAAAAGGAAAATAAGTTCAATGCCTAAATACTTGTCCAAAAAAAAGACCCATTAGACTGATAGCTGCTAATTCCACGTTTTTATTTTTTTTATTTTTATTTTGTTGCTTTTTATCTTTGCTGCTTATTTCTCATTTTTGAAATGAACATTTATAACTTTTCTAGGGTATGATGATTTTTAACTTTTACTGTTATACCAATGGGCTGGACTGCAAACGGCATACTAGTGGGATATGTTTGTGCATCACTCACAAAGTCATGCGATCAATGTATAACATCAAAAACACTAAACAAATAAGAACCCAAAATGGCCTATGCAGAATGGTGCCAGTGAGTAAAACAGCGCATACACATCAGTAAGGCTTATTTTTTGTTTTTTCTTTTATTACTTCCTATAAGTGAATCAATCTACCTCAAATAAAATTGCTTAATTTTTAAATAAGATTTAAGAAACTAAAATCTAGTTAGCTCACACAGCATTCTAGGTAAATCAGAAATTCAAAATGTTTGTTGGTAAGCCTAAGCCAAACACTAAGCAGAAAGCTGAGCTTCCCAGCATACCCACAATCTGCTTGTCTTATACATTTCCTGTACTCTGGCATGCAGTGGTCCTTTACTTAAGAAAAGAGGAGGGCTACAGAGATGACCTAGTGGGTTAGAGCATTTACTGCTCATACAGAAGAACCCAATTCAGTTCCCAGCACCCACAAGGCTGTTACCTTAGTTCCAAGAGATCCAAATGCCCTCTTCTGAACACCATGGGCACCAGGCACACACATGGTGCACATACATCCATGTATGCAAACACATGAAATGGAGTGTTAAATGAGTCTGGGGGAAAGTAGCAGGAGGCCAGGGCAAGGAGGCCAAGAAGGAACAAAAGGAAAAAGGAGGAGCAATTCCTTCCACTGCCACACAACAAATAAGGTGGTACATTAAAAACAAAGTTTTCTTATCGGAAGAGTTATTTTATTATATTTTATGTTATATTTTATTTTGTATTTTTTTTGTATTTTGTATTTTATTTTATGTTATTTTATGTGTACTGGTGTTTTGTCTTCGTGCACCACTTGCATGCCTGGTGCCTTCAGAGATGATCCTCTGAATCTGAAGTTACAGATAGTTGTGAGCCATCACATGGATGCTGGGAACTGAATCCAGGTCCTCTGAAAGAGCAACAAGTGCTCTTAACTACTGAGTCATCTTTCTAGCTCCCTACCAAAGAAATTCCGAGAAATTTAGGCTAATAAAATTTTTTATGAAATAAGTATAAAATTTCATGAAGCGTCAAGTTAGAAATGCTTCATTCGCCGGTCAGTGGTGGTGCATGCCTTTAATCCCAGCACTTGGAGGCAGAGGCAGGTGGATTTCTGAGTTTGAGGCCAGCCTGGTCTACAGAGTGAGTTCCAGGACAGCCAGGGCTACACAGAGAAACCCTGTCTCGAAAAACCAAGAAAAAAAAAAAAAGAAAGAAAGAAATGCTTCATTCAAAAAAGGACAAAAACAGCAACAACAACAAAACGGTGTTAATTCCAGCACTCAAGCAGTCGAGGGAGGCAACCTGGTCTACCGAGGTGAACCAGGGCAGCACAATGAGACAAACATGTCTCCAGTCAAAGGCACGAAAGTCTCTCAGTCTTCAGTTCTCACTTCGCTTCAATTCAATCCCTCATTCCCAAACCTTGCTTTTTTGATGCACTACACTGGTCACTAACCACTGATGGACAAAGTAACCTACTCTAATAATAAATTGCAGAGTGGAAACATAATAATTAAGAATACCTTTCTCAGCTGGGCAGTGGTGGTGCACACCTTTAATCCCAGCACTTGGGAGGCAGCAGCAGGCAGATTTCTGAGTTCAAGACCAGCCAGCCTGGTCTACAGAGTGAGTTCCAGGACAGCCAGGGCAACACAAAGAAACTCTGTCTCGAAAAAACAAAAACAAAACAAAAAGAATACCTTTCTTTTCTTTTATAATATGGTTTTACTTCATCAGATGAAATACTTCGGGAAAGGATCAACTTAGCAATAATAAGAGACCAAAGTGTGCCATTTTTTCTAGATCTAAAAAAAAGAGGCAAAATATGAATGTTAAATACAGATATACAGATAGAGATTGGACCAATCATTCTGAAAATTGTTAAGACTTTAAACCACTGATTCTCTGGATTCCTTCTATAGAATTAAATAAATTTGGATCACTAAGTCATCCAAAACTTCAAACTCAACTGCAACTAACTAGCCAAAGGACTGGAGTTTAGGTAGTTCTTCACAACTGAACTGAGCTCTCACTCCCAGGCAACAGCAAAGCACCTCAAGATCCCATGAGAGAGAGAGATGCCGTAAACGTCTAACTGGAAGACCAGAAGCCACATCTGGGAAAGGGCTGTCTCGCAGAGAATAACTGAGTCTCCGTGAAGGAAAAGAAGCACTATAAAATGCAGAGGGAGCTGTGAGTGTCTGGTGGTGGCTTTTCTCTTCTTTTCCTCTCTTTTGTCTTTTATGAGGCAGGGTCTCATTATGTAGAATTAGCTACCTGGATCTTGCCATGCAGACCAAACTGGCTCTAACTAACTCATAGGTTAGTTAGAAAGATGACACAGGTTGCCTGCCTCTATCTCCCACCTGCATCACTATGCCCAGCTAGTTGTGTTAGTATGGACCAGTGTTCCAGAGGAAATCTGATACCCTCATACTGTAAAGCATATTCAGACTATTGGTAAGCCAAAACAAACAAAAAGTCATTCAACATCTAACTACCATAATGCTATAAGAACTATTTTCATAATCCATTTTCCTCATCTGAGGAAGAGAAACTCATAGCTACAATATTAAGAAACATCTAAGTTACAGGTACAATCAAATTTAATTTGAAAGAAATGGGAAGATCAGTCATATGTAACAAATTAAAACAATATCTTCAGCCCCCAAAGACTCATGTGAATGCTTAGCCCATAGGGAGTGGCACTAATAGGAGGTGTGTCCCTGTGGAGGCGGGGCTTTAAGGTCTCCTATGCTCAAGCTACACCCAGTATGGTAAAGTTGCCTTCTGCTGGCTTTGGATCAAGATGTACAACTCTCAGCTCCTTCTCCAGCACCATGTCTGCCTGCACGTTGTCATGCTTTTCACCATGAGAATAGTGGACAAATCCTCTGAAATTGCAAGCCAGCCCCAATTAAATGTTTTCCTTTATAAGAGCTGTCTGGGTCATAGTGTCTCTTCACAGCAGTAAAACCCAAACTAAGATACTATTTAAACGGATTTAGATCAACGCTCTGATTGAAGCAAAAACAGAAACTGGGCTTACATCTTACAGAAGGGAAAGTCAGCTTAAAAACAAATTGAAAGAGAGTCTTACCTGTCAAATAACAGCTGCAAGAGGCTGGAAGTATCACCAAGTACAGATAAGTTGCTGTAAGTTATATTCATTTTTTGAAGCATTCCACAAAATCCACTTAGAAACGATGGCGGATTGTCGAGCTCTTCACACCACTGCAGTGAATACAGCAGCTCTGCAACTAACAGAATGGACACAGCCAGTTATCAAAGGCACACAGTGTACAGAACGAACTGTCATGTACTATCTAAGCATGTGGAAGGCTGATTCTCAGGCTCTCCCCTGTCTCCTCCAAGACTTGTCGTGGGACAAGCTGGTTTCCTAACTCTGTACTAAGGAGAAAGTTGGTAAGCAGCTGAGGGCACTGAAAACATGGCGGTAAGATCACAGGGAAAGCAATCTGCTTACACAACGTAATTATTGTTTATCCCACATCCTAAAAAACACCTGCAATAGGAAAAGGGCACTAGCTGCTCATCCATGAAGAGGATCAAGATGATGTGATGATGCTCCCCCTGGGTCTCTCCTTGAGTTAATAGCAGATAGATGACTTTATGTGCCTGCTTTGATGATATTTGATGCTATTCATTCTTTTATATGCAAGCCTTATTGGGGCGACACATTTCTGACCAAAGCTCAACAGGAACTCAACTTATGCCTCATCTGGGCTTACTCAGTTGATTTCTGCTGGATATTTATAAACTTAATTTGAAGATGTTGCCTTTTGTTTACTCTCTGGATGTGGTGATTGCTCAGTGTGAGGACATTTTGCTATCTGCTACTTCCATCGGGTACTTGTTATTTCTTCTTTCACTTTTGCTTGCTAGAAAACACAGCCACCATAGATTCTCAGCACACAGAAGACATGGTGGCTAGCCTTTGGAGCACTTTCACCCAGCTACCCAATTCGTTTTTTTGTTTGTTTGTTTGATTTGGTTTGTTTTTTTTGTTTTGTTTTGTTTTTCGAGACAGGGTTTCTCTGTGTAGCCCTGGCTGTCCTGGAACTCACTCTGTAGACCAGGCTGGCCTCAAACTCAGAAATCCGCCTGCCTCTGCCTCCCAAGTGCTGGGATTAAAGGTGTGCGCCGCCACCGCCCGACAAGTTACCCAATTCTAATAGCTGTGCGCACTCATAAAAACAGCTGGCAGCTGGTTTTCCAATTGCTTTGCGATTTGAAAGAATGAAAGTGACAACAGATGTCTGTCATTAAATAGTACCCTAACCCAAATTCTAACCCCAGGGTGTTGTGTCATGTACCTATAGTCCCATGCACCAGAGAGGCTGAGGTGGGAGAAACTAGAGTCCAACATGGTAACTTATGAGGCCCCATATCAAAACAAATACCACTCCTCTTCAGAACAGAGCCTAATTTACTAGACATTGAAAAAAAGCTGCTGCTCCTCCTCCTCCTCCTCCTTTCCTCTCCTCTCCTCTCTTTCTCTCTGACTCATTCTGTCAAATATTCCTCTGACCTATCACTTTGTCTGCCTCTCGATTAGACATCAATTTCAGACATGGCTGCTTTCTTCTACAAAAAACTTACCTACATTGTTATGGATTAGTTGATTGTTTGAAGGGTATGTCTGTATTTCAGACAAAGGGATTAAAGGTGTGTCCTTCTAGCCAGATCACATCATCCTAGAAGGTCTTTGGATGTGATCCATTGCCAGAGCAGCCATGTTGATGGATTAAAATTCCTCTACATCTAGGGTTTCAAGTAGCCCAAATTAAACAATCACTATGTAGCTGAAGATGACTTGATACTCCTGACCCTCCAATATCTACCTTGCTACTGTAAGGATTACAGTTGTACACACCACCTTACCAAGTTTAAGGTCCTCCACAGGGCTGGTCCTAAAGCTGAGAGTTCATTTTTAACTGCCTTTCAGCTAAGGACAGACACTCTCAGGAAGAAAAAAAGAGAGACACTTTTTAAAAGGATTCTATAAATAGGTCTATCAATGGAATAGAATTGAAGACTCAGAAATAAACCCACACACCTATGGACACTTGATTTTTAGCGAAGAAGCCAAAATCATTTAGTGGAAAAGAAAACATTTTCAACAAATGGTGCTGGTCAAACTGGTGGTATGCTTGTAGAAGAATGCAAATTGATACATATCTATCACCTTGTAGGAAGCTCAAGTCCAAGTGGATCAAGGACCCCCACATAAAACCAGATACACTGAATCTAATATAAGAGAAAGTGGGAAAGAGCCTTGAACCCATTCTGGGAGGTGGGGGAGGCAGGCAGATTTCCTAAACAGAGTTCCAATGGCTTATAAGATCCCAACAATTGACAAATAGGACCTCATGAAACTGAAAATCTTCTATAAGGCAAAGGACACAGTCAATAGGACAAAACTACAATCTACAGATTGGGAAAAGATCTTCACTAATCCTACATCCAATAGAGGACTAATATCCAAAATATGTAAAGAACTCAAGAAGTTAGACTCCAAGAAACCAAATAACCCAGTTAAAAAATGGGGTACAGAGCTAAACAGAGAATTCTCAAAAGAGGAATCTCAAATGGTGGAAAAGCACATCCTTAGTCATCAGGGAAATGCAAACATAAATGACCTGGAGATTCCACCTCACACCACTCAGAATGGCTAAGATCAAAAACTCAAGTGACAGCAGATGCTGGTGAGGATGTGGACAAAGAGGAACATTCCTCCATTGCTGGTGGGATTGCAAACTGGTACAACCACTCTGGAAATCAGTCTGGCAGTTCCTCAGAAAATTGGACATAGCATTACCTGAGGATCCAGCTATACCACTCTTGGGCATATACCCAGAAGATGCTCTAACATATAACAAGGACACATGCTCCACTATGTTCATAGCAGCCTTATTTGTAATAGCCAGAAGTTGGAAACAACCTAGATGTCCTTCAACCGAAGAATGGATACCAAAGATGTGGTTCATTTATGAAATGGAATACTATTCAGCTATTAAAAATGAGGACATCATGAATTCTGCAGGCAAATGGATGAAACTAGAAAATATCATCCTGAGTGAGGTAATCCAGACCCAAAAGTATGTGTATGACAGAACCCTAGCATGGCTGTCCTCTGAGAAGTTCTACCAGCAGCTGATTTAGACAGGTGCAGATACAGCCAACCATTGCACTGAGGTCAGGGAACCCTATAGAAGTTAGGGAAAAGATTGAAGGAGCTGAAGAGAATTGCAACCCCATAAGAAAAACAACACGGGCAGTGGTAGTGCATGCCTTTAATCCCAGCACTTGGGAGGCAGAGGCATGGTCTACAGAGTGAGTTCCAGGACAGCCAGGGCTATATAGAGAAACCCTATCTTGAAAAACAAAAAAAAGAAAGAAAGAAAGAAAGAAAGAAAGAAGGAAGGAAGGAAGGAAGGAAGGAAGGAAAGAAAGAAAGAAAGAAAAACAACACTATCAACTAATCCTGACCCCTCAGAGCTTCCAGAGACTAACTCACCAACCAAAGAGGTGGTCTGTGGCTCTCCCCACACCCAGCCACCTCTCCCCCACACACACACACACATATATAGCAGAGGACTGGCTTGTCTGGCCCAGTGAGAAGATGTGCCTAATCCTGTAGAAACTTGATTCCCCAGAGAAGAGGGATGGTGAGGGTGGTGGGGTAAGGAGGAGGTGGGAGATGGAAGGGGGTAGGTGGGGTTACCTTCTCAGAAGCAAAGGGAAGATGAGATGGGGTGAAAAACTCGAGAAGGGAGGATTGGGAAGGTAGGCATCATTTGGATGTAAATAAAATAATTCAATAAATAAGTAAATAAATAAATGAAAAAAAAAAGCTAGCTATTACTGTAGTGCAGCTGACAAGTTATAAAAGGTTAAAAAAAAAAAAACTGAACCAAGAGTGGAGATAGCACAAACCTTCAATCCCAACACTAAGGAGGAAGAGACAGGCAGATCTCAGTAAGTTCACAGCCATCTATAGTTCCAACTTCAGCAGTCCAACTTCTTTGGCCTGAGAGTATGTGCATTCACATACCTACCCATACCCACACATATATCTAAAAATAAAAATAAATCTTAAAAAAACAAAAACACAGGGAAAAAAACCTAAGAGGTTCCAAGACCTCAGACAAGAGCTTCATGCCAATTAGGCAAAAACAGGATCCAGTGTAAACTACAAAAGTAAACATGGGGGGGTGCAGTGGCACACGCCTTTAATCCCTGCCCTGGAGGTGAACACAGGAAGATCTCTGTGAGGCCAGCCAGAGCACATAATAAGACCCTGTCTCAAAACAACAAACAAAAAGTAACCATGTGTCCCAGTAACAGACTGCTCTGCATTAAATCTCTTAGGACTGTTAGGATAAAAGAACCAAGAGTCTAGCACAAACTTCACAATCACCGGTTTTAGCACAGAGATAGTCAAAATGTATGTAAAATTACATGTGGGTCATGGAGTCAGGAGTCTTAAAATCTAATCCTACCTTAACAAACACCCATTAAATAGCAAAAACAATTACAGCATTTAGCTGAGAACTGAGAAGGAGACTAAATATCCCTTATCTGGAAATAGTAGCTCAGACCTGTAATCCCAGCAATTTGGGACAGGGCCAAGTCCATCTTTCTGAGTATGAATCCAGCCTGGTCTATAGACCAGCTATGGCTATACACTGAGACCCAATCTCAAAAAATATCAATCAATCAATAGAGAAAAATGACAATGATTAAATATCTCCATACTTGGTAGGTTGAGGCAGGCAGATTTTTGTCTCAAAAAAAAAAAAAAAAAAAAAAAGTGGGACAAGGGGCTAGAGAGATGACTCACTAGTTAAAAGCTAGTGCTGCATCTCCTTAAGGCCTGGGTTCAGTTCCCAGTAGCCGTGTCAACCCACAAAAAACTGCCTGTAACACTAGCATCCATGAATGTGAAATGGTCTTCTGGCTTCCGGGAGTACCCACATGTACACAAACAAATTAAAATAATACAGCAGCTTAACACAACAAGAACAAATCAACTTCTAGTCTTATGTTTAGACAGATAGCAAAGTAGATTAAATGTGGCATTCAATAGCCAAATGAAGTTTCGCCTTTCTTTCACAGAACATGTATTCTCTCAAATGTATGAAAAATTTTTATCTTGAATACTACTGCATACAGGACATACCTACAATACTATGAATGGGGAAATATGCTGAAGTTCTAAATCTTGAGATTCAATATTTGAGTCCTTACTTGCCAGTAAAATGCTTAGAACCATGTGTGTAATAAATAGCATATATGTTCAACACCCAAGAGGTATTTCAGAATCCTGGCATCACACCTACTTCTTCAGGGCCTATGACCCAGGATCGCCTTCCTCTGATGTTACGGCAGTTTGACTAAAGTAACTGGTTTAAATAAAACTTAAACCAAACTATGCTGAACACCGAACAAGATCCTAGGGTGTCTACCTTAACCTTCGCAGATACTTACTTATTTTCTCAAGGACATTGTTTCCTAGGGCTATTTTCTTTGTCCGTGCAGTTAAGATCATTTTGCTCAATAATGATGAAGTACACAAATGGTTGGGAAGAGTCTTTGCATCTTGTTCCTTAAAGTCGGTCTTGAAGCATTCATAATTTAAACTCAGCCTTCCCTCTAAAAGAGGTCTGTGTAGCCACTGTGAATAGAACACAATTATATGCAAATTCATTAGATACACTAAATTGCTTACTATTTACTTCCAATTTTTGTTCACTGCATTTATCCAGTTTCTTTTGTTCATATGAGGCTACTAGAATATGTAGCTTATGCAAAAGTGCAATAGCTCAGAAGCTTGGTTTGGATCCAAGCAGTCAACCCCATGCATACTTCAGGATTCCCTAGGAGAACCAGACCTTACTCCTCTTTACATGAGGCTGACACCAGTGTCAAAAGGCATATTTTCATTAATAACAACTGTTGCTAGTGTTCAGAGACATAAGAACAATGCAAGAAATCCTTTTAATTGTTTTTTCTACTCCAGGATAAAACAACTGAAGCCTGAATGGACTAGAAATCCATAATGAGATGTGCACTGGAGTGTTAGACACACCTGAACAGGAAGAGCCTGCCTCATCTTTTCCCACTCACTGTCACTGGGCATTACACTTCCAATATAAACTCCAAGAAGAGAGGTGTTCTCACTCTCTACAAGAGCACTCAGCAAATCTCCAGCAGCCGACAAGAGGACCTGAAGACTAAAACAATGCAAAGTGCTGTAGTTAGGGTACAAGCAGTTCCACAAGCTAGTACACATTAAACATCCAATTAGAGTAATAGCACACTAGCACAAAAAAGGACAGAGAAGTGGTTTTTCCTATTTCCCAGTATACCTAAGACAAAGACACTCAAAAACTGTTCGGTCTCACATTTATAATGTGTAACTGTGTGATGCTTCTATCTCAGGATGGAGCAGATGACTGTTTTCAGCTAGAGAATGTCTGAAACACAACTACTTTCCTGAATAAGAGGATGATTATATATTTTACCCAATTCCAAAGGCACTACATGCATTGTTTTCAAGTTCATTATATGGACAAGTATGTAAAATATTCTTGTAACACAGTATCGTAAAAGTGAACAACCAAGGACAATTAGTATGAATGGTGGCCATTAAAAATCACAGTTAACAATCCAAAATATTTAACACAGAATAATACAACCATGCTACTGACTACAGATAGTTTAGCAGGTAAATAACTGCTCTAGTGACAACTTAAATGAATAATGTTAAGACAATTAATTTTTTTGTTTTTTGAAAAATCTGGACAGTCTAGTTTTATAAGCATCTAAAACAGATTGGAACTCACTAATCATGAGCTGTTTTTTCACGAGCTGTTTTTTTGTTGTTGTTGTTTTTTGTTTTTTGTTTTCCTTTTTAAGACCGGATTCTTACTATGTAGTCTAGAATGGCCTCAAATGTATGATCTGTCTGAGGGCTAGGAGTCTGGGCATGCACTCCCACGGCCAGGAGGAGACAGTATATAAGGGGTCTTATATACTGTGCAAAAAGCGTTACCTTGTGTTATCCAAAGCTGAAGACTGAACCTGGTCCTTCAGCCACAGAACAGACAAACGTAGGAAGGTGCTCTGCTCATATGAACTTGCAGTTTGATGGACCAATAAGTTTACGCCAGAAAGCAAAGTATTCTTCAGTTTACAGATCAGAAAATCTAAAAATCAAGGTATTAGCAATAATTTGTAATCTCACTGAATGAACTCTTTTCAGTATAAAACACTAGAAACAAATTTGCTGTAGATCTGAGATCTTTAAAATGTTATTTTAAAACAAAATACAAAGTTAAACTCATTACCAAAAGAAACTGTCATATTCACAGAATAATGCAAGCTAGCCTGTACCATAATACTGTAAAATGATAAGGTAGCTATTTTCTCTATCCTACTTCCTTACCAAAAGTAGGTGTCCTTTGACAGGTTATCTTTTCCAAATGAAAAGTTAGTATTAAAGAAAGGATGAGGGGAAGAGTGCTATCCATCAATGGTATTCTTAGTTTTTGTTCATTTTTGTGACAAGGTCTCCCAGGGTAGCCCTGCCTAGCCTGGAGCTCACTATGTGAACTAAGGTTGGCCTCAAACTCATAGAGACTCTCCAGTTTGAGCCCTTGAGTGCTAGAATTAAAGGCATGCACCACCATGCCCAGTCTCATCAATATTTCTTTTTTTTTTTTCTGTCCCTTTCTCAGATAAACTTGAATACAGAGAGCAAAAACTTAGTCCTTACAAGACAATTTCAATTTTATTATTTCATAATCAAGACTTAAAGGGATGCGCCACCACTGCCCGGCTAGTATTCTTATCCCTTGATAAATAAGGAAATTGAGTCATTGAGAAATGAGGTACAGCAGGCACAGTGGTACACCCCTCTTATCCCAGCATTAGAGAGACAGACTCAAGCAGATCTCTCTGCTAGCCCTAAGCCTAATTACCTGAGTTCCATCCCTGACACGCAAGTGGTACAAGGAGAGAACCAACCCTACATGTTGTTCTCTGATTTCCACCCAGTCCACAGTGAACAACAAATGGCCACACAAAGCAACTAAGTTTAATTTTAAAAGCAATGAAGTGACTTGTTAGTGCTACTCAGTGAATAGGCTAAGACTTTAAGTCATTGAGTATGGCCCCTTGCAAACGTTTCCTTGATATCATGCATGCACTTTAGAAATATCATCTACATATTTATTTTTAGCTGGGTTTTTAGAGCTAAAAATATGACAGTAATATTTTCTCAAAGATCTTCAAACTAACACACACATTACGATTCAAGTAATAAAGCCTGGGCACTTACACTCACTATGAAGGTCAGAGCTGGAGATTCCCAACAAAATATTTGAGCAGTAGGCTATTACCTGGCAAGTGTGTTCGTTCTTTGCTCTGAGCGCATAACTGAAAGAGAGTTAATAACAAGTCTTCAGAGGGTGGCATTAGCAAGCCGCCTCCTGCTGAGCTGAAGAAGCTATGGACCACATCACAGACAAAAGACACTGCAGAGTCACTGTTTGCCACTTCTGAGAAGTCCTTTGTTTTAGATAAAGTTTCATGAAGTTTAACAATAATTCTTCCAACATATACTTCTCCAATCAAGTAATCTACAAAAACAAAAACAAAAAAACAAAAAAAAACATAAAAACAGACAAACAGAAAATGTAAAGAGTATTAACAATGTATTTTGAAAATATCTTTCCCTGGGCTAGCAATCATGTAGATTTTTCTGATGTTTTGTATTTGCTTTTTAAAACCATATATATACAAAAATGTCAATCTGCCTGTAACACATAAAAGCCCTCAAGTTTTAAAAAGCAATTTTAAAGTAAAACCTAGCAATGGACTATAAAATTCAAGAGTGGGCTAATTTTATTATATTCAAAGAATTTTAAATCAAAATAAATAACATTACATATCTTGAGTCATCCCATGTAACAGACACAGTATTTATAACAAACGTAAGGTAGTTAAGAGAACATCTCTTATTTCCACCACCAATATCCAAAGTATGGAATCCCCCAGGAGGTGGAAAGGATTATCAACAGTGATATAAGGCCGAAGTTTTAATTCCCTACCGTTTTTAACACGCTGGGATAATGTCAGTCTTAGCAGACTCCACTGTTCTGATGAGTGAGATTCGGAAGATATTGTGGATTCCAGGTCCTTACCACAAAGACAGTCTGCCAAGGCAACCAATTTTTCTCCAAGAATACTGCCTTTTAGCCAAGGAGTTACTAAAGCATGTTTATCTGAACTAGAACATGCCTAAAAATTAAAAAATTCAAGATTAGAAACAAGATCAAAAGATGTGTCCAGATTAGTAAGCGGATCCTCCTGGCTCGCCCCCTCCATCCCGTGGTCCCGGCTCTCCCCTCTCCTGTCTTCCTGTCCCCAGTAACCCTGGTAACAATCACTCCCCAGCTTTGCTACCTTACCTCAACCACACAGACTCCCATATATCAAAAATCCATACAAATCCCATCTGTTTTTCAAAATCTCCCCATCCATTCTACCCCAAGACAAACTTTCTTCTCTCTGCCCAAGCCAACTGACTTTCTAAGCACTGACTTTCCTCTGACTTTCTAAAGCACTTCCTAGAAAGTATTATTATATAAATGTTTCGTCTGTGTGTGTTGTCTTTCCAATAAGACTTTGAGTTCCTTGCCAACGGACACTGTTTTAAACTTCTTTGATACCTGCTACCAACCCTGAAGATATGTTCAATGAACAACGAATGAACTGAACTCTGAAGATAGTTTATAAATGGCCTCTTAATGGTATATTTTTGTTCATTAATTTTTCTAAAATTAAGCAACAATTAATATATAATGGCCAACTACTTCGATATTAACAATTGGGGTTTACTTCCCCAGAGCCTCTGAAACAGAGTACCTAGGGCCAAGTAGCTAATGGTAACTTTTTTATTTTTGTTGAGTGGGGAAGTGAGAGAGAAAAAAAACTTGTAAATCCACCCCCAAAACCATGCTGATCCATGTTCCCAGAGCTTCTTTTGCTTTAAAGGCTGAGAAGAAAGGATTTGCAACTTGGTTCATTTCAAAGCCTGGAAAAAAAGAAAACCCAAGTGCACGTTGGGTAGTGACTAAAAACTGCTTATCTTTTATATTAAAAAATTATAGACAATCAGAGCTAACATTTCAATCTAAGCCTTATCATTAAGTTAGCCTTATGATCTCTGACAAATCTCTCAACCAATCTGGGCCCACTTCCTAATTTGTAAACCAACAGGTTTACACTTCAGATTTCCTCCTGGTAGAGAAAATAAATTTCTGAGTAAAATGTCTCTCAAGTTAGTGAGACATGAGCATTAGAGTCACAATGCAGTAGGGCAGCTAGTGAAAGACTCTATGCAGCTGACAGAAGCCAGGACAACTACAAGTCCCAGGAGCCCAGACAACTAGACCCTTACAAACACTACTCAACAAGATGTTCTTCTAAACAGATACAAGCTCCTAGATGACCAGGCAGATATAGCTGGTGTCAAGTGGGTGGATATACAGTCATTCTTACTTTTCTAAGTTTTAAAAAATTGTATTTGTAGCATGTGTGTGTGTGTGTATGGGTGAATACATGTATGTGTGTGGACACACAACCTATGGCATAGGTATGAAGATCATAGGACACACTGCAAGAAATGGTTCTTTCCTTCAACCCTTTGAGTCCTTGGGATCAAACTCGGGTCACAAGCCTCAGCAAGCACTGGCACCTACTGAGTCTGTATCAGTTGACTCTTACTCAATTCCTGACTCTCCCTGTTCTGATCCGAGGCTTATCAAGCAGCTAATCTAGCTCTTCATGTAGCTTGCTTACAGAATACTAAACAAACTAATTGTGTGCCTGGAAGCTGTAATTCTCAGTAAACAGTCAAAAAATAGTCTGAACTTACATTTTGTAAAAAGTAAACCAACTGGTGAAACTGGGAATTATATAAACATAATTGAAAGGGGTTTTGTCATATATAATTTTTCATTTTTTGTACTGCTACAAATCAAACCTGGGACCTCGAACACACTTGGCAAGTGTTCTCCCTTTGAGCTACACTAACAACCATGATGTAGTTTCACAAAATAAAAAAGGTTGGGAAAACTAACAACGTGACTGTGCTTTATCATCTCTGAACTCTACAGAGACACACAATGGAACCAAAACACAGCTCAGTGACGGGATGAGCTGAGCATTTCGGAGGCTATGGCTTCAACCCCAACATAGCAAAGAGGAAAATAAGGAAAGAAATTATTAGGATAGCTAATTTTGTTTTGTATTTTTCACTACCACTTTTTAAAAAAAGGAAAACACAAATTCATGTAGAAGAGACAAATCGGTAAAATACATTCTAAAAGGAGGTGTTTTAAGAAGTTCATCAGAAACATCTACAGTTGAAAACTTAGCTATGCCATTTAAATCGTCACTAGAAAAGAACACTGAAGCCTTTTTAAATTTTTCTGAATTGTATCCTGAATCTGAATTGATTTCATCTGGTTCCTTTATTATCAGTTTTCTTATGTAATCGAGTGGCAAACTGCACAAGGCTGAGACACTCTCACATCCTGCACAGCCCTCCACATAGGAAAAAACAATTTCCAGATGTGTGCAGTCAGACCTCGAATCATTTGCTAAACTTCTATAGACCATGAAGAGCAGAAGAAACCTTAGGGCCCCCTTTAGAATATGACACAATGCTGTATCATCAGCTAAAAAAAAATCCACCTGGCTGGCCTCTTCAGACTGGGTTTCTCATTAGAATTTGTAATAGTAAGGATGTGCTCTCTCAGACACTTGACCACGGTCAGCATGAGAATAGACTGTGGTTTGAATTTCTATATCCACACACAAAAATAGAAAGAAAGGGAACTGGGACTAAAATACCTTTTCAATGACCTGAAGAAGAGAACTCCAGTTCAAGTCCTCCTGAAAAAGACAAAGTTAGAAAGTTACAGGACAAATGCGCGAGCTTGAAAACATGACAGAAGCTCTGCACATCCAAACAAACTGCCTCCCTGTAGGTAGTCCAGCTAAAGAACGCACTCTTTATCAACCTTTCGTCCTTGTGGAATTGATCAGGACTTCCCAAACCAGCAGAGAGCATGTTGTCTTTAAACTGGCATTCAGAGTCCAGTAAGGAACCCATAACAGCTCTCATGCTTATTCTTATCACACATCATACAAATATTTATAACAGTTAGACAACAGTCGTACCTTGGTTAGATCATCCAAGACTTCTTTCCTTTCCACACCACTATCACAGCATCGGAGGGCACTATACAAGATGTCCACCAAGAAGCCTCCGTCCTCCTTCTGGCTGTCATTTAGCCAGCCTATCAATTTGTGATATAAGAACTGAACTGCAGGATTTTTTTCTGCAAGTTTGGTTATTTCCAGAGGTTTGGCTTTGACAACATCCTCCTGTTTGTCACTAAGGAGAATCTTAAATACTCGGCCTGAGGAGAAGGAATCAAGCAGCGTAGAGAGAAACTGCAGGTGTTGCTCTGACTTCTGCTCGTTGACAAAGCTAATGCTCACCTCTGCCAGTTTACAGACTAAGTCTTCCAGAGGTTTTTTCCTTAAAGGAGATACTAGGTCTGAAGATTTATAACTGAGAGAAGATTCAGTCCCTCCTTCAGAGCCTTCGCTGTTCTCTCCTTCTGAAGACACACATTTCTCATTCTCCTTAGGAGTTTCAGGTGTATCGATGGCAAACCTGACCTTACCATTTTTCTTTCTGTTTGACTTCAGTGAGCTCTTTGGATTCTGAAGGACCCCTACTAGGTTAGACACACCCAAAACAGACTTCACATCTGCTTCTGGCTCACTGATTTTCTCAATGCAGATCTCTGACAGTCTTTCCCAGAAATTTAGCAGAACATTCTCCAGGTTGTTAACAGTTTCAGCATCTTGTTCTACATCTGCTTTGGCTTCCCAAGAACTTAATGTGTCTGCTAAATGGTTAAACAGTGGCCCATGTTGCAATCCTGAGTCTTTGAGAACTGTATCAATAAATGGGATCAACTGAAAGAGAAGGTACAAATTTTAAATTTTAGATTTCAGGAGAGCTTAAACAAGGTTAAAGCAGTAAATAGTCTGGTATTTGAGGACCAGGGAGATGGGCCAGTCAGTAAAGTGCATGCCGAGCAAGGATGAAGACCTCAGTTCAATCCCCAAAATCTGTTAAAGAAAAAGAAAAGCCACCCAGATCCCTGAGTTCACTGACCAGACAACCTACCCAAATCTGTGCATTTCAAGCCTGCTTCAAAAAGCACGAAGAATGGAGTCCTGAGAAATGACACAGAAGTCATCCTCTGGCATTCATACACACTAAACATGTGTCACACATGTGTAAACACATAAATCTGAAAATAGTCATTCAAATATTTTCTAATCATTCAAAAAGTTTGGCAATTTCACTGTAATCCACCTCAATTTTATGACATAATCAACCATAATTCATAATCTAGTTTTCTTTGCATCTTCTAAGATCAATCAGTTTTTACATTTTCCTCACTTAATTAAAAGATACAAAAACCATACAAGACTAGAAGCCTGCCAGGTGAAGTGGTGTATGCCTGTATGTCTAGCCCTTGGGAAATGGAAGCACTTGGCTTCCTTAACATATATATTGTTTGGCTACGCAGGAAGTTGATGGGTAGGCTGGGCTACATAAGACCTTGTATAAATAATAAATAGACTATAAGTCATTTGAAAGATAATTGGAACACTTAGGCACCAAAAATTCAGAATCCCTTTCCTGAATTAGAAAGTTAAAAGATGGAGCCAGACAGAGCTCTACAGAGTGAGTTCCAGGATTGCCAAGACTACACAGAGATATCCTGTCTCAAAAACCTAGAGAGAAAAGGAACGAAAGAAGGGAGTGGGGGGAGGCAGGCCAGCAGGCAGGCAAGAGATGATAATGGGCCTAGAGAGATGGCTCAGTAGTCAAGAGCATGTACTGCTTTTGTAGATGGTTCGACTTCAGTTTCCAGCACCAATAACAGCTACTTCACAAGCACCTCTAACTCCTGCTCCAGGGGACTTGAATCCTTCATCTAGACCATCAGGTGCCTACTCTCACACATCCATACTGCCACACCCCACAAATACACATAAAATTTCTAAGAAAGTGAGACAGCTGGACAGCAGTGGCACTAATCCCAGCACAGCAGAGGCAGGCTGAACTCTGAGTCCAAGGCCGGCCTGGACTATAGAGCTAGTTCCAGGACAGCCAGAGCTACACAAAGAAACTGTCTTCAAAAACCAAAGAGATAGAGAATCTAAGATATTATCAAATATACAGGCTTCTATAATCACAGCGCCTGCTCTTATCATGAATCTCATAGTCAAATAGAACTGTTCATAAAAGGGTAAATGCATATGAGCATTTCTAGAAATAACAAAATTATTACTGAATAATTGAAACCTCACAACACATCACCAAAAGCACCATGCAACTTCTGTTTTGCACTGTCTTTTTATAAAGAAGTCAGGGATTTAAATCCAGAGACAGGATATGGTAAATTAGTCTACGGATTATCACAATAACAACTGACAGTACAGAATTTTTATTCATAGTCAGAAATATACTATCCAATTAGTAAATTTTAAAGTGAAGGCTAACTCTAAAAATCATCACAAGGACCCCGTGAGCTTGAGTCTTTCCTCTGTGTGCCAAGCACACATGACCTGCAAACGCACCTGCTCATTGATAAGCATCTGCACCATCGCCTCCTCGCCTAAGTTCTGTTGCATTATAAACCGTAAGCATTCAAAAAATGCTGACACGACAGCTGAGCACTCAGAAGAGCTCGATTTGGTCCTCTCTGTTGACAGCCTAGGAAATAATAACTGAGGATTATTCTTTCAAGAAGAAAAGAAGAGCTCAGAATCACAAAAGACATTAAAAATGAAATTGTACTAAATAAAGACTTTAAAATCTAATTCCTTTTTTTATTGGATAATTTCTTTATTTACATTCCAAATGCTTTCCCCTCTCAAGGTGTCACCTTAGGAAACTCTCTATCCCATCTCCTCTTCCCCTGCCTCTATAAGGGTGCCCCAACACCCACCCACCCACTCCCATCTTCCTGCCCTGGCAATCCCCTACACTGGGGCATTGAACTCCCTCAGGCTCAAGGATCACTCCTTCCACTTATGTCCAACAAGTCCATCCTCTGCCACATATGCAGCCGGAGCAACGGGTCCCTCCATGTGTACTCTTTGGTTGGTGGTCCAATCCCCGGGAGCTCCAGGGGGTCTGGCTGATTGACACTATTGCTCTCCCCCACATGGGGCTGTCAAACCCCTCAAATCAAATCCTTAAAAATAAAAGCTGGCTGGGCAGTGGTGGCGCACGCCTTTAATCCCAGCATTTGGGAGGGAGAGGCAGGCGGATTTCTGAGTTCGAGGCCAGCCTGGTCTACAGAGTGAGTTCAAACAGCCAGCCAGGGCTACACAGAGAAGCCTTGTCATGAAAAAAAAAAGAGAGAGAGAAAGAAAAAAGAAAGAAAGAAAGAAAGAAAGAAAGAAAGAAAGAAAGAAAGAAAGAAAGAGAAAGAAAGGAAGGAAACATGAAAGAAATTGTGATATTTAAAATGTGATATCTAATTAATATTTAATTATTAATCATAACAATTAATTAGTTGTAACTATTAATTATCATACTTTATCACAATAAAGTATGCATGTCATTCATTGAGTGACAAACACAGTAAACTTTTTAAAGTATTAAACAGAAGTAACTTTTTTGGAACTTCCATATGGGACCTGAGACCTCACCTATGCTTCTAAGAAGGTGAGCCACATCGTGGGTCCTTAAAAGCTCTAACATGGATTCGGGCATCTGTATCTGACAACATGAAAACACTATGACTCATTTAGAATATGGTTCATTTCCATCTAGACAGTTAACTGTATTTATCCTTGTACTAGATACTACCACAAAAGCTTGGACAGTTTTCAAAAAAAGAAGTGAGTTGGCTACAATCCATATCCTGTATCCTAGCCACCTAAGATGCTGCAGCTGAGGCTGAGGGTCTTTTGCACACAGTCCAGTCTAGACAACACTGCAGCACTCTGCCTTGCTCCTCATTCCTACTTCTCTGAAAGCTTGAAGTGTTTAACAAACAGAAGGAAACAAATGGTGAAATTCAAATAGGAAGGAAAACTTTGAGTAAGAATAAAAGCAAGAAACATTCTTTTTGCTTTTAAAAACAAAATTTAGGCCAGAAAGATGGCTCAGTGAGTAACAGCACTTTTCACAAAGTCTGAATACATAAGTCCAATCCCTAAGACCTACTGACAGAAAGACAGAAGAGTTTCCTGCAGCCCGCACTCTGAACCTCATAGATACAAACATGTATACATAAATACACACACACATACATATATACACATGACACACATGCACATGCATGTGCATACATACAACATGACACATACAATAAACAATAAATGTAATTTTTAAAGTAAAAAGAAATATATTTGCTTACCCAGTAACTAGAGAGGTGAGAAAGTTTTTGAAGAAGTCCAGCTTCGGCTCTGTGATGCACTGAGGAAGTTTGCTGATGAACGGTAAAAGATAAGGATATATAACAGCAGCTAGGCCCCGGCCACCCTCACGGATCATGGCCGTCAGCTTGGGAAACACACTTTTTTTGGCATTTACATGGAACCAGCAGTCCTAACCCAAAAAAAAAAAAATTATAATAGAAATTTAAAATTGTAAGCATGTTTCACAAAGCAAATCTCCAGGATGAGAATCACGCAGCGAGTGGCAGAGCACATGTGTGTGCCCAACCCTTGGAAGACTAGCTACATACACAGGCTATCCATACAGCAAGACTCTGCCTCCAAAAATAAGGCCAGATATGGTAGGGCACATCTTTAACTCCAGCACTCAGGAAGCAGAAACGAGTAAGTCTGTGTGAGTTCAAGGCCAGCCTCCTCTGAGTTCCAAGCCAGCCAGAGTGACAGAGAGACCCTGCCTCAAAAAAAATTTTTTTTAATTTAAAATAAAATATTTTAACTAGTAAGGTTATTAAGCTCTCACTATAATTTAAATAAGACTTCTAAAAATTAAATGCTACATCTAATAATCACATATTTGCTATGTTAACAGGAAGATTATTTAAAACATTCCTAGAAAAGCTATTCTCTTAAAGAAATAAACCTATTTCTGAATCAGAAATCCTTCCAGAGGCACAATAACCAAGCAAGCAGAACTCAGAAACACTGCCGCATGCCGAGACACTGAGACTGGCTTCTAAAGTTCCTGAGGCACACAGTGAGAGTAAACCAAAGGCCGTACATAACACTGTGACCCAAGACTCGAGGTCTCCTCATAGGGCCACAGCTACTCAGCACTGCTATGGTCCCCCGAGGAGACTAAAAATTCATGACGTGAGAATGTAAATGAATGTCTTAAAAAAAAAAAAAAAACAGCTAGACGAGGTGTCACACGCCTTTAATCCCTGCATTCTAGAGGCAGATGCTGGTAAGTTAGAGGGCAGCCTGGTCCACAGAGTAAGTTCCAGGATCCAGGACAGCCAGGACAGCCACACACACACACACACACACACACACACACACACACACAAAAGGGGGAATGAAGAAAGGAAAGACAAGGAAAGAAAAAATGGCGTCTGGAAAGGAGTACAACATTTGTGCCATTCATGGCCGGTCCAGCATGTTGAACAAATTTTAGCATTTTTCCAGTTAGTTTTATTAGACAGGACAACATAATGTAATCTCATGTGGCTTTTAGGGAAGTGTGCCTCCCTTCCATACCTCAACAGTTGTCAGTGTGTAGAGCACAGCTTCCCAGAGAGCTGGGCAGACCACAGGGTCACTGTCATCAATGCTGAGCAGGACAGATGGGCTCACTTTGGCAGCTTCCTCTTTCATCACCTGGGGCACATGCTGGCACAAAGCAGAAACTAACTCAAAATACGCTGAGCGGACCTAAAAGAAGCACCAGAAAGCAGAATGAAATGAAAGCACAAAGACACTTGACACAACTAATTATGGCAGCAGTAAGTGGCAGCTGCTCACAACTCCTGTTCGCATAACTGAAGGCACTATATAAAAATAGTCTTTAAATATTAAAAGACACTCAGAATCAGCAAGGCAAAATAAAGACAGAAAGAATATAATTTTTAACAGAAACCCTATTTAATAGCAGAACCCTTCATTTGGGGTTTCAAACCAGTCAAATGACATTAGCCACATGAACACAGAGAAAAGCAAGCATAGCAAAATACAAGATTTAAAATTAATCATCTACAAACTTCATTAGAAGTGCTAAGAACCTATTTCCAGCATTTGGGAGGCAAAGGCAGGCAGATATCTGTGCGTTCACACAGTCTAGTCTACAAAACGGATCCCAGACCAGCCTAGGCTACACATGGAAACTTGATCTCAAAGATACAAACAATAGAAGTGTTCTGTCCTTTTTTAGGATAGTAGACCATAAATCTGAAAATGCATTAATTCCAAAACAAAAATGTATTAACCTAATACATTTAAATTTAAAGCTCAAGGGCCATGTTATATCTAGTGTTTCCCACTAACTCAGCTCACATGCTGAAACTTAATTGCTATTTAGAAGTAATTAGTTCTTGAGCACATTACCTTCATAAATGTAACTAATAACTAACAAAAGAAAGCTCAACACAGTGGCAATGTCTTTAGTCCCAGTACTCAGGATGCAGAGGCAGGTGGATCTGTGAGTTCAGGGCCAGCCTACCTATAGTTCCAGAACTACAACACATTCCAGTTACATAATCAGGCTGTCTCGAAAACAAACAAACAAACAAATAAAAGGAAACAAACAACCGAGCAGTGGTGGCACACGCCTTTAGTCCCAGCACCTAGGAGGCAGAGGCAGGTGGATTTCTGAGTTCGAGGCCAGCCTGGTCTACTGGTCTACAGAGTGAGTTCCAGGACAGCCAGAGCTACACAGAGAAATCCTTTCTCAAAAAACCAAATAAATAAATAAATAAATAAAAAAGGAAACAAACAAAACCAGCAGTAAGACAAGGCAGAAAGGCAATAATCACACAGGAGGGCTTAATGGAGGAAGGCTGCCCTTCTGCCCTTCCATGTCTTTCAACACATAAGGATGCAGTGACAAGGACCCATATTTGAAGTATAAATCTATATGGTAGTTAGATTATTCTTGGCCCAGGGAGTGGCACTATTTGGAGGTATGGCCTTGTTAGAGTAGGTGTGCCACTGTGGGTGTGGGCTTTAAGACCCTCCTCTTAACCACATCGAAGCCAGTCTTCTAGCAGTCTTCAGACAAAGATGTAGAACTCTCAGCTCAGCCTGCACCATGCCTGCCTGGATGCTGCTGCCATGCTCCTGCCTTGATGATAATGGATTGAACTTCTGAACCTGTAAGCCAGCCCCAATTTAAATGTTGTCCTCATGAGAGCTGCCTTTGGTCATGGTGTTTGTTCACAGCAGTAAAACCTTAACTAAGACAACCATCTTTGAAAAAATAATCCCTAATAGAAGATCTGCTAGAATATTTATCTAGTCTTTTAAAAAGTATTTTTAGAGTTATTTTATGAGTGTTTTGCCTGCACTTATGTATGTGCACCATGTACACAACTGATCCCTGCAGAGGCAAGTAGAGGCCACGAGCTAAGGGTGGAGGCTATAAGAGGGTGTTAGATCCCCTAGAACCAGAGTTGCCAATGGTTGTAAGCTACTATGTGGGTTATGGAAATCGAACCCAGATCCTCTGCAAAAGCAACAAGAGCCCTAAACCACTGAGTCATCTTTAGCCCCTCCGTCGAATCTTAACCAGCCTCTATAACTATGAGACATGTATTTCTACCTTTTTTGAATTGCCCAACTTAGGCTATTTTGGTTGAGTAGTATGGATGGGCTGAAACAAGGAGATTAAACACAATCAGTGAAGTAGAAGACTGAATAAAAGAACTTATTCATATACAGAGAGAAAACTGTAAAAAACACGAGACATACAAGATAGAATATAGGAGATTTAATCTATAATTAGTTACAATCCCAAAGAAGAAAGAATGAAATGAAGGAAATATCTGGAGGTAACATCTGAGAATTCCAGAGGCAATTAAATATCCCAATGCACAGATTTAAGAATTCTAATAAATCATAAACAGGACCCATGAATGTGTGAAAGAAAATCCACACCAGGACAGACTACACTGCCTTAAGAGAATGTAAAGAAAGCTGGCCGTAATGATGCATGTTGTTAATCCCAGCCCACAGGAGATACAGGCCAACCTACATAAGAAAGTGACATCTAGAAAACCATGGATGCCAGTCAGTTCGATGCTCAACAACAACGCAGAAGTGAACACAGAGTTCCAGTCTAATAGACAGGCAAGAAAGTCCTAAAGGACCAACCACAGAGATGTGCTTGCATGACTGCAAACATAAATAATAAACATGAGCATAAATGCAGTAAAGTCAGGATGGAGTTACAGAAAAGAAGCTTTAAAACCAAAGCTATTACCATACCTGAGGTATACTGTGTTTTCCATACTTCCAAAACTTATTCTGTGATAAAAGTGATTTAAATTTCTCCTCCAGAGAATCAAGCTCATTGTTAGGTAAGAAGCAAAGCAATCTCTTTAGTGCCAATAGAGAGCATGTTACAACTCGATGGAATTTAGCCTCTCTCTCTTCCTCTGGAACTGTTCTAAATTTGAAAAATAAACAAGTTACATTACAAAAAAGACAGACTACATATTTGGCACCTTTATATTGTTTTATTTATATATGTTTTATTAAATTTCTACTAGTTACCTTATTTCTGTATCTTTTCCCCCACCACAAACATCTTTCAAAACTCATAGAATGTTTTGTCACATGTATTTAGCATGTGTGCCTATGTATTTATGCCATGGTACACATGTGTGCACATGTGCATGAGAAAGCTGGAAGTCAGAGGACAAACCAGGGGAGCAGTTTCCTCCCTCCATGCTGGTCTTAGGGACTGTAAGTACCCACTGAGCCATCTGGCCGGCCCACAAGGAGAATTTTAATCACACATTTTACAACAAATCCAAGGTGAAAACAAAGGCAAAGCCAGCAGCTTGGAGCAAGCGAACAAGCACAATGCTCTCTCCCCGACATTTACTCAGCAACTCTAGGAATGGCAAGAAAACATCTAACTACTTCCCTTGATGGCATCTTAAAAGCTTGCTTACAATATAAAGTAAAGGTAAATAAAACATTTTTACTACTCTTTTTATAGAACTATTTAATAACAGCTTCAAGTATACCAGACCTTAAAATAGTTTCAGCTATGACTGCCAAAAGGTTAATTAAAAAAACAACAAAAATAACAAAAACAAAGCTAGACAGTGGCAGGTGGCAGTGCACCCTTTAATCCCAGCACTCAGGAGGCAGAGTCTGACAGATCTCTCTGTGTTCTAGGCCAGCCTGGTCTACAGAGTGGGCTTCAGGACAACCAGGGATACACAGAGAAACCCTGTCTTGATAAACCAAAAGAAAGAGAAAAAAAACAGTAAAATTTTTTCTAACAAAACTACATATGTATCTCAGAAGATTCAAATTTAACAGCCAGCCAAAGTTCAGGGAGGCACCATGCAGCACTCTCTGAGGTAATTTTACCTGCATTTGGAATTCCTTCTCAAAACAAGCCATACTGAAATTATACATGCAAACCAACAAAGTAAATGCCTCGAGTACATTACTTAGAAACAATATAACTTACTGAGGGTCACTAAGTGTATCAGGAGTTTCTTTCAGAAGATGATCCTGCAGTACCTGAAGGAGAAAACCACCAAAGCCTTGAGATCTTATGGGTCTGACAACCGTAATCAGATGGAGGGAAAATCCACCTTCTAAAAATTCTCATACCCTTAACCCACAGACTAACAATTTTTGGCATCAAAACTAACAGATCTAAATTTTGCCCATTTTTGCCTTCCTATATATTCCCTGAGTTGGCTGGTACTGTGATAAAGACAGGGTACTTTATGACAGCACAAATTCCCATCAAAAAAACTTTCCTCTAAATACTTGTAGCTACTTGTTGATCATTATTCTCACTACAGCAGTACAGTAGGATGATCAGCCAATCAAAATCGGACAGACAGCTCAGGATTGTTTCCTTTCCCATCTCCAGCCCACAGAGAACACATACTGTGTACACATGCAGCTCAGGGACAGATGTGAGTCAGTTCTCTCTATACCTTTGAGGATTGTAAGGAACAAAGTCAGGTATTCAGGCTTGCATGGCAAGCACTTTACCCACTGAGCCATCTTGCCAGCCCCTCCATATCTTCTGAGGTTACAGATATCTTTTATGTTTATTGTGTATGTGAGAGAGAGAGAGACACACACAGTTTGCTTGTTTTTTACAAGAGCAGGTAAAAGAGCTACCACTGGATGCCTGAGAGCTCTTAGACAACTGAGAAACACAGGTACAGAATGATCCCAAACACTCACACTTGTAATTTCTTCCTTACAAAACGCTATGGCTTCAGGTTGCTTGCTTGGAGGGAAAGCAGCTTCGAATGCATCTTTTGCCGCCAGTGCAGCTGGTGGATATGTATCACACTGAGCCATTAGCCAATATCCCATTACACTTTTTAAATATGGAGCTAAGTGCTTCTTTACTTTAAGGATAAGTTTTTCAAAAGCTTGCTGTGTCGCTTCTCGAACCCGACGATCATGATCCTATTGAAAGCAGAAATGTGGTTTAAGAACAAATACTAATATCTGTAAATATCTACAATGACTCACAGTAGTAATTCATCTATGTATATAATCAAACTAACAATAACTTTTGACAAGTTAGAGGAAAAACTATTAAACTAATAATAACTTTTGATAGGCTAGAGGAAAACCTCAGAGTGGAGCACATGTTCTAAGCTAACAATGCCCTGAATTCAATTACAAGCCAGAAAAAAAGAAAAGGAAAAAACTTGCTTTGAAATATTGCAGATTTAGGGTTTATTTACTGACAATCATGTAAAATAATTTTTCCTTCCTTCCCCTTTCCAGTGAGATTGTATCCAAGATAGGTTCAAAGACAGAGTAATACAAGGAACTCATTCTCAATCTTCTGTAGAAATGCAGAGGGCAAACCCTCTCCAGAAATAAATCATTTAAGCAGAAACAGGCTCATAAACTCTAATGCTTACAAGGGAGATTTTGCAGAAGATTCTTGGCCAGTACGGAAGAACCCCCTTTACAGCTTCTGTGTCTCTCTCTGTGCACATAGTTCCAAATTCTTGCATTGCCTGAAAATAATTAGTATCATCAAGGATTAACAGAGGTAACACGACCTACTGATTTTCTTCCTTTTGTTCTGGGAACTTAGTCTATTTTATTTAAAAGGAGAATGCATGCATCATTTCTGTCTTTGCCACAAAGAAACATGAAAAATTCTTTCACAGTCCACTATAACAAAAACGTAACCATTGACTTTTAGACTTTACCATAAACAAAGAAAACAAAGCCATGTGGTAGTGGGGCAGGCCTTTAATCCCAGCCCTTGGGAGGCAGAGCCAGGCAGATCTGAGTTCAAAGCCAACCTGTCTACACAATGAATTCAAGGACAGCCAGGGCTACACAGAAAAAAAAAAAATGTGTCTCAAAAAAAAAAAAAAAAAAAAAAACAAGCAAACAAACAAATATTAAAAGACTGAAGCTGAGTGACCCAAGCTCAGCATCAGCTACCCAGAAGCTAAGGAAGATCACTGAAGCCCAGACACCTCCAGACTAGTTCAGCAACTTCACAATGTTGCATCAAGAAATAAGAGTGTGTGGCAGGGCGGTGGTGGCGCACGCCTGTAATCCCAGCACTTGGGAGGCAGAGGCAGGCGGATTTCTGAGTTCCAGGCCAGCCTGGTCTACCGAGTGAGTTCCAAGACAGCCAGGGTTACACAGAGAAACCCTGTCTCAAAAAAACAAAAAGAAAGAAAGAAAGAAAGAAAGAAAGAAAGAAAGAAAGAAGGAAGGAAGGAAGGAAGGAAGGAAGGAAGGAAGGAAGGAAGGAAGGAAGGAAGGAAAGAGCGAGCACAGAGAAGAGAAGAGAAGAGAAGAGAAGAGAAGAGAAGAGAAGAGAAGAGAAGAGAAGAGAAGAGAAGAGTGTGAAGAGATGGCTCAGCAGTTAAGAGCACTGGTTTCTTTTCAAGGAACCCAGGTTCAGTTCCAGGAACCCACATGACGACTCACAGCCATAACTCAAGTTCCAGAAGATCCAACAACTTCTCTTGTTTCTTGGCCACACACATGGACATGGTGCTCATACATTCAGGCAAAACACTCACATACATACATACATACATACATACATACATACATACATACATACATTCATACATACTCACACACATACAAACAACAGCCAGGCATGGTGGCTCATACCTGTAATTCTAGCACTCAGGAGGCAGAGGCAGGCCACAAATTTAAGAACAATCTGGTCTACACATCATATTCCAGGACATCAAGGGCTACCTAGCAAAATTCTAAACATAACTAAAAAATTTTTTAAAATTATACTCCCCAACCATGAATAACTATGTAGCCAAAATTCTAAAATGTTTCAGAGCAACAAACTAAGTTGTACCCTAAAAGTTAAGTGTCAACTAAACTTAATGTGTCAAAATACTACAACTGTAAAAAGAACTATTGATAAATTACTACACAATTTTCTTTATATCAAATATACCTAACATTTATTCTAATAAAACTACATTCTTAATTATTGTTTTTGTGAAAATAAGAAAACTTGCCTTTAATTTTGTCGTAACATCTTTTTTGGAAAGTTTCCGAAGCACCATTCGGAAATCAGAATCCACAAGACTGTCTATGTCTTCCGCTCCTTGAATAGCAGGAACATAGCCCAGGTCACTGTGAGATGTTCCAAAACCAATAAATCCAGGGACTGTTCCCTGCTCTTTGGCAAGGAGTTCTGCAGCTCGGCCGCTGTTTGAAGGCTGATAAGAAAGCAAAACAAAGCAAAAAACAGTCAGAACATTTTCTCACACATACATTAATTACAAATAATTAAAAAAATAATAATACTGTTCTGAACCACAGTGTTTTTGACTGATATTTATAATGTACAAATCCACTAGTTCTGAAAGATAGGGGATCTGTTGTCAAAAAGAAAACGAATATTTGAACTATATACAAAGAAATTAATTTAATTTTTTAACTCCTTCACAAGTATATTCAGAACTGTGACCTGCTTTTTGCCCCTCACCTGTGTTGTCTATTGTAGATATAAAATAGTTATTCTGATCTCTGCAGATTAGATATTTATACCCATAGCCAAATAAAAATTTCAAACCTAAGGGCCAAGCAAAATGGCCTAGGAGGTAAAGGAACATTATGCCGAGCCTGAGGACCTAAGTTACATCCTAAGGCCCTCATGGTGAAAGAAAAGAATTGATTGTCCTCTGATCTCCCCACAAGTGCATATATGCAGGCGTGCTCATGCATATACACAAATAAATATAATAAGCATTTTTAAAAGATTAAGAATATTAGGCAAGCTGGAGAGTGGTGGCCCATATCACTTAGGAGGCAGAGGCAAGTGGATCTCTGAGTTCAAAGTCTAGGCCAACATGGACTATAGAAGGCATTCCAAGTCAGCCAGAATTACATTAAGAAACCCTGTCTCAAAACACATCCACACACAAAGACCCTTAGGCAAGAATGATAATCTAGTCCTTTCCTTTCCTTTTTTCTTTTCTTTTCTTCTTTTTTTTTTCCTCCCTGAATAGCAAGAGAGAGTTGTTTACTAGAGTCATCAGGTTTGGCCCCAGTTGCGGATTTGATGTCTTCCTCTGGAACCTAACTGTCGAGGTGACACCCTGAAAGGACTTTCCCTCACTCCCAAGCATGAGGTCCTAGGTTTGACCCCAGAACCCATACAAAGAAGTCTGGTGAGGTTACACATACTTGTAACTCTAGTGCTGTGAAGATCGAAATGCATGAGCATGAGCACACACCAAGAACCTTATTCTATACTTGGCAGTTCTCATATACTATACCTACATCTGTCCATTCTTTGTACCTGGATTCTCTAAGGCTATCTGAGTTAGTGATTCTGAGTCCATGGTGTAAAGACCAAAGTGAAGGCTTATAAGATTTCCCACCTGTCTTCAACTTTTCAGGTTCATCTCCTACTAAGCCTACTCTCTATCCTACTTAGCCCCCACCCCCTCAATCCTTCCTTTCTTGCCAGGGTCCCGCCCTGACAGTTAGGTTCCAGAGGAAAGCATCAAATCTGTGACTGAGACCAAACCTGATGACTCTGATAATTTAACTCTCTCTTGCTATTCAGGGAGGAAAAGAAAAAAGAAAAAAAAAAAGAAAAAAAGGAAAGGAAAGGAAAGGAAAGGAAAGGAAAGGAAAGGAAAGGAAAACTCAGGCACACAAAGGCAACACACATATACTAGATGAAGCACAAAAAAGCTACACCACCAATTTACTGTTGTTCTTAGTTTTTATACCTTCTCAGGATAATTGATCATGTTTTTTGAAGCATTTTTACATTCAATAGTTCATAGTAAGTTTGAAGCAATAGTTTAAACCTTAGGTCAATAAGGCCTAAGGAGTTATAGCAAAATTGTTTACATGCCTTTCCATTAATTAAGACTAGTACCTGACTAGACAATTATTATCTGGGTTTTTTTTTTTTTTTTTGCCCCTTTAAGCTCATTATAAGTTTAAAGCAATTACTTTTGTCATAAGTTAGCAAGGTTTTGTCAAGAGACCAATCATCTGCCTTCTGTCTTATTATTTTGAAGTCATGTATAGAGAAACTAGTCCAGCATTTTTTTTTGGTCCTTGCACCTACAATAAACTGCCCATTTCCAGTTTATGACCTTTAGTTACAGGATAGTCCCCTCATTCCTAACCTAGAAGGAATGTTTTCCCAATCTGTAAATTTGTCCCAACCCTGTTTTCTTTTCCTAGTGCAATTAGCCCATGATACATTAAGTTTACAGAGCTCTATTTGCATCTTCTTTTTTCTATAGGGGGCTTGAGATTACTTGTATCAATTTGGGAATTCTATAAAATCATTATCTAGAATTATGAAATCATTAGTTCATCTAAACAGCATTATTTCATGAAAATACATCTCCATATTGATTCAGCAGGAAATCGGCCGAATAGGGTGGGCTAATGCCCAGGAACCATAAGGCTATTTAATGATGGCAGGCAAGACATATCAGCAGCTCAGAAGTATAGGATGCAGGACCCTACATTTCAGAACACACCCATCGCAGCCATGCAAAATGGCGGGATAGCTCCAGAAAACTCACTTGCTTGCCATAGCCTGTCCTAGATGGATTCTGACACCTCCCATTATTCAATACTCTAAATTCCACTCAGAGTTTCCTAAGTATAATACATGCTCTTTCACAATTTAGTCTTCACATAATCTTTTCTCTCCGTCTGAAAACCCTTCCTTCCTTTCACTAGTGTTTGCAATGTACTTCTCCCTCAGATCAATCAGCACCCTCTTCTGTTCTCTCACACTCTCTCCATTCATGCATTCATGCTTATCTCATAATTGCTTCATACACCATGATATTTTCTTACAAATCTGTGCCTGCCATTACTGACACTTCAAGAATAGCAATCAGAAGTTGTGTGGTAGGACAAACCTGTAATCCCACACAATCCCAGCACTGGGAGGGGAGGGGAGAGAATCAGGATGTTAGGGTCAGACTCAACTATATAATGATATCAAGTCCAGCCTGATTGATACATATGAGACCTAGTTTCAAAACAAACACAGGAAAGAGCAGTTAACCATCTTAATGGCACAAGCCTGGAACCCCAGCACTAAAGAGACTGAAACAAGAAGGTGACAAGTTTGAGGCCAGCTTAGGCTACATAAGAAGTTGCAAGTCAGGCTAAACCACATAGTAAAATCCCATCTCAAAACAAAAAGTCAAAACAACAAAAAAAGACATGTATATACTATAATCTATAAATATATATGGCTCCCAGCACTATTTTCTATTGAACAAATGCTACTTTTAAGTTCAAGTCCAGGCCCAGTAAGATGGTTCAGAGGGTATCAACACTGGCTATGCATGTTGTCAGATAATCTGGACATCCATCCTGGTAACCCACAAGAAGTGAAAGGAGAGAATGGGCTCCCAAAAGTTGTCCTCTTACTGCCCTACTATGAGATAACATTTTAAAACTAAAAAGCTAGCTAGCTCCAGAACAGCCAGAGCTACACAGAGAAACACTGTCTTGAAGGGGGAAAAAGTATTGTACACTTTTGGTGTGATATACTGAAAATGGCATCATATAAAGCATTCTGGTCAAAAATGGCTTAACCTGAAGTGATATAAGGAAACAATTAGATGAGGGGTTTTGTTTGTTTGTTTTGTTTGTTTTGTTTTGTTTTTTTGAGACAGGGTTTCTCTGTGTAGCCCTGGCTGTCCTGGAACTCAGTCTGTAGACCAGGCTGGCCTGGAACTCAGAAATCCGCCTGCCTCTGCCTCCCAAGTGCTGGGATTAAAGGCGTTCACTACCACTCTCAGGCAAATAGATGAGTTTAAACAAATCAAACCAATGGCCAACTCTTCTTGGTTATTATGACATAAAAGACACACTCATCTAGGATGCAGGAATGGGAAATTGTCTAAATCAAGACTTAAATGTGTCTTTTAAGTGCTTTTTTAAATATGTCTTTTAATGTATTCCCTGGCAAAGGGAACAAGTGATATTTGACTGAGTCATAAATGCTTTGAAAATGTTGCTGTGTACCACCACTGCCCGGCTTCACCTTTATATTTTTAATTCTGTTTTTGTTTTACTTTGATTTTGGTTTTTTGAGATAGTTTCTCTGTGTAGTAGCACTGGCTGTCCTGGAAGTTACACACAGAGATGTGCCTGCCTCTGCCTTTCTAGTTCTGGGATTAAAGGTGCACCACCATGACTGACTTAATGATTTTAGATAACAGCAACATTTTCAAAGCATTTATGACTCAGTCAAATATCACTTGTTCCCTTTGCCAGGGAATACATTAAAAGACATATTTAAAAAAGCACTTAAAAGACACATTTAAGTCTTGATTTAGACAATTTCCCATTCCTGCATCCTAGATGAGTGTGTCTTTTATGTCATAATAACCAAGAAGAGTTGGCCATTGGTTTGATTTGTTTAAACTCATCTATTTGCCTGAGAGTGGTAGTGAACGCCTTTAATCCCAGCACTTGGGAGGCAGAGGCAGGTAGATTTCTGAGTTCAAGGCCAGCCTGGTCTACAGAGTGAGTTCCAGAATAGCCAGGGCTACACAGCGTGTCTCAAAAAACTATATATATATATATATATGTATGTATGTATATGTATATGTATATATGTGTATATATGTGTATATATGTGTATATATATATATGTGCAAATTAGAAATGTGACTTGTAAGTCTACATGTTATATTTGTCGTATTCCACCACAGTTAAAGTTTCGAATGTTATATGAAGAATGGCATTGTTCTTAGAATATATAAGGTGGAAAATCTGGGTGTTAAATACTGAAATTAACTCTCCAAAGGGACAGCAAATTTTATAAATTAAGAGATGAAAATGATTTGTGAACAAATATTAACAGCTGGTGACACAATAAATATGGAGATTTCTAGTTTTGGCTCATGTCTTTAAATCCTATATTCTCAAGGCAGTGGAAAGTAGGTCTCTCTAAGTTACTGGTCCTCTACATAGCTGAATTCCAGCCCAGGCAGAACCCCACACAGGCAGAGTTAGACAGTAAATGGTCTCAAAACAAAACAAAGGCCGGTTATGGTGGCACACACCTTGAAACCCAGCTCTCCAGAGGCAGAGGCAGGAGATCTCTGGGAGTTCGAGGCCAGCCTGGTCTACAGAGAGTTCAAACACAACCAGATACTCGAAGAAACTCTCACACTCTCTCTCTCTCTCTCTCTCTCTCTCTCTCTGTGTGTGTGTGTGTGTGTGTGTGTGTGTGAGAGAGAGAGAGAGAGAGAGAGAGAGAAACAAACAAATGAAGAAAATACAAATTTTAATTCTAATATCTTTGCCCTAAAACAGTGACGTTTTTACGCTGTGACAACTCAACAAAAATGCATGAAAAGCATTTAACATGGTTAACCTACTGTAATTTTATGCTTTGATACTGAAGTCGCTAAAGTTAACTGACTCAGAAATGGTGGAACAGTTCTATAAAACCGAACTGTGTGTGTGTGATCCATTAGGGATAAAGGAAACAGAGAAACACCTGCCTTCAAAATGCTTATAAAGACAGTAATTTACATGGCACGCAGTGTTGTGACCACGGAGAACAGCCACATTAAAAGGGGGCTGCTACCAGAGGAATGATGCACTGAGGTGTCTAGAGCCACCTAACATATGGCCATTCGGATCCTGCCAGGCCAGGCCAAGTTCGTGGCGAGTTCAGGGTGACCAGAATGAAGCAGGAAAAGCGAGGTGAGCTTGAGGCCAGAGACCCAATGTGTGACACCGACTTGACACTAGGCATACCCTACGGGCTCCGGCCTTGGCAGGGAGGGACGGGGAAAGCCACTGTACATTTCCGAGCAAATGAAGCCCACGCTTGCTTCTTCCCACAGCTCCTACACAAGCTCTGCCAGCTGGGCAGGGACCGCCCGGGTGCACGCTGACACCGTTTCCCGGTGACACCTCTCTGTGCGCGCTCCGTTTCACAGATCCGGTGTGAAACGCCGTTTGGGTCTCAACTCCTCGACCCGCGGGGACGCACACACAGGGAGGTCACACGCCTCCCTCACGGCCCTCCGGACACCCGGGCCGCGTGCCTAGGGGCTCCCATCACGGGACTCACCCTCAGGTTCCCCTTGGTCCGCTGCTTATTCTTCCCGCCCATGGTGGCGGTGGCGGCAGGGTTCTCACTCTGCAGAGCCGAAGTTGACACGGCCGGGCCACAACTTCCGGTCCCTCGCGCCGGAAGGGGACTCATTGTAGCCACTTCCCCCTCGCCCTCCCAGCCTTTCGATTTCCCACTTCCGCTCCCGCCTCCCTGTCAGGACGCTAACCATCCGCTGCCTGAAACGTAACAAAGAAGGCCACGCCTGAATGAGTGGCGTCACTGCTGACCAATAAAAAGCTAGCATTGAGCCCGTGGCGCCAAACCTGTCCTAGGGATTTGTAGTGGAGAGATTTCCTCCCTAGTATGTGGGAATTTGACTTCAGATCTAGTCTCGGACAACATAGCAATAGAATGATATGGAAGCAGCTGTGCTAAAGAGTGCTAGAAGGTGATGCGATCATCCGCATGAAAAACAGACTCTCGAGCCCATGTCTAGAGAATCATATTCTGCGTTTGACAAGATTCCCACTCTTGCTAGAATTTGGATACTGTTTTACGCTGTATTCTTTGTAGAGCTCTCTATGTTTTCTATACTAAAGTGAGGCAAGAGTTAGTTAGGTCATAGAAAAGAGCCCATAGTAAGTTGGACCACACTGACAGTATCAGATAATGATAATATCAAACTTTAGGTGCAGCTCATCGGTAGAATACTTGCCCAAGAGACGCAAAGTTCTGGCTAAATCCCTAGCAGCATATCCTCAAAACCCTTTGAATTTATGAACATCGAAAGACTATCAGTGAGCTATTATTATGTGCCTTGATGCGATGCAATAGAAACTATTCAAGATCTATTAAGTATTCTTGCAAAAAAAAAAAAGTCAAAGCTGAGTCTAGCTAAGCTTTAGATCTAATAATTTACAGAATACCGAGGACCATATAAAATGACACTGGCACAACCAAAGAATTCAGAATGTGGGAAATTCTACTAAAAAAAATAATGTTTTCACTAACAATGATATAGATGGGGGTTGGGGAAGAATGCATTTGAAAAGACCTAAGACAGATCTTGCACATATAATATCAAATTATAAGCCAATTAGAGGAATGTGAACTTGGATTGGATTTTTTTATTCATTTTAAGTGTATGTGTGTTTGTGTGTGTGTGTGTGTTCACACTCATGCACCCATGGAAGCCAGAAGGTATTGTATCCTGAAGCTGAAATTTCATGCCGTTGTGAGCCGCTTGATACGGGTGTTTTGAGCCCAAATAGAGTCTTCTGCAGCAAGGGTTCATAAACTTTTAAAGCTTCTCATTGCACTCAAGCACTAATAAAGTAACATCTCGAACATCTTTGGAAAAACTAAATGTGTTTGAGAAAATAAATATCTATTGCATGCCTCACTCAAAAATGTTAAGCCATAAGGTTTGGAGCTCAGTGGTTCGGAGGTTCATAAAGGCTCAGTGGTTAAGTATGTTTCCTGCTCTTCCAGAAAACCCAAATTCAGCATTCAGCTTCTAGCCTTCTTGTTAGACACCTATATAAATCCAGTTCTGAGGGATCCAATACCCTCTTCTGGCCCCCATAGGTACTCAAGCAAATATATACATATATATATGCATGAG